AATAATTTTTAATATAAACTGAAGATAATAAATGATAAATACTAGTATTATTCCATTAGTAAATCGAGTTTAAAGAAGTCGGTCACAAACATACATACAGGTGAAGCTAATAAAAGCGCTAGTAGCTGTTAAAAAGAAAGAGTAGGTAGGTACTCACAACAGCTATTTGGATTCAATTTCTATATTCGAAACTTTCAGTTATAAAATCATACCTTATACCAAATTAAACTTGGTTTGTAAAATGTCACTGGTTCCAGCTCCGGATCGTTTTGAATTTTCCACTCTATTCTTTTCTTGACGGTAAAAGTACTTCGCAGTACTCTTGATTTAATTTAAAAAAAAAATTCAGTCAGATTTAATTCTTCTTGTATTTAGGTGTAGGCATTGGCACATGCTATTTTGTTTTTGTAAAGCGAGTTAGTCGGCTTCCAAAGGCATTCATATTGTCTGTACAAATTAATGAACTGTATAGTTCTCTCATCTACTCATCGTGCCATGTTGTATACAAAATAACCAACAAAAAAACTTGAAATAAATGACCTTCGAAAAAACAAACAAACAAAAAACGTATGCCTACGGCTACAACGAGAGTCAGCTACTGGCATACCCATAGCTGTCGCGACTATTCACACGAGTCAGTTTGGCAACGAAAAAAAAAAGTTAATCAAATGTGCTAGTTACTGTATGACAGTGACAGGCATGCGAGTTAACGTATACACATGACAGTAGCTGGCACGTGCAAGGAGCTGGCATGCTAGTGTGCAAGCTAAGGGCATGTGTATCCCCAGTTTTAAAGTAAAAATCTTTCCAAACGAATTTTACAAATGTAATAATTCTGTAATAGCGCCATCTACACGGTTTGCCAAGTATTACATCGACCTATGAAGCCGACGTAGTTCTAATAGTACAGTAGCATGATTGTGGGAGTTCGACATTTGAAGTGAATTTTCTTAATTTATTTTTCGTAATTTAGAAACGAGTCTAATTGTAATAAAAATTTTTGTTGTATAATTCTTATAAATAACATTAAAAAAAGAATAGTTCTAAGGGTTCTACAAACGGGGCATATGCAAATCCGTATAGATTGACTTAGGCTCCACAGATTAACAAATCGAAAACCTCGATTATAGCGGTCCACTGTTAGCTTATTTGGGTAAAAGAATCCTTCGCATTTCGTCCCGTAGGTTTTTTCTTGGATGATTACAATTTCTTGTTACTACTACGATAAACTTGAGAAAATTCGCGTATTTAAGGACTTTTTAAATTATTTTCTCAACTCATAATTCTTATCAACTTAGCTCTCGAACCATTAAGGCTCCCTATTTACTGAAAACGATCATATACTGGCTATCGATCTATGTAAATTTCACAATACGTGAACAATCAGGGTTCGAACCCAGCCGACACCTATGAAATTGTTAATTGGAGTTTTAACAGCGTATATTCAAATATTATGTGTAATTAAAATCTACGCAATCGCTCTAGAAAGGCGTAATACTGATGCCAACTAGAATATTCTCTGTGGGTATGATTGAGCGGACGCAAGGCATACTATTGGATACTTTTGCAAGGCATACTTTTGATACTATTGGAACTAAAAGAATTAAATAATTGCCACATAATAACTTATGAGGTCGTGCTAGGACATAGTGTATAGAAGAATTAAAACCCCAACTTTGGAAGATAATATGTGGAAATTATTTTATTCTTTAAGCAAATTGAAGTCGGCTTTAAATTTTACCCTATTGATTAGACTATTACCAACGTAATAGTACCACTTAATAGCAACGTAACAACTAGAAAGGGGTAAGTAATATCATTATTATCATCATCATTACAGCCCTTTATAAGTCCACTGCTGAATATAGCCTATATACCCCAAGGAATGTCACAAAGCACGGTCCTTTACGGCGAGCACTTAGCCCCAGAGCTACCACGCCTCTAACGTATTTTTCTTTTTAATAACGTTACCTTCATACTAGGAATTTCTTCTAAATATATCGTAGGGAACAGTTAACATAAGCACATAAAATTCACAAGGACAAATATTTTTGCGAGTTACAAAGAGATGGCCCCCAGTTCCCAGCGTCCTGACTACGGTGGCGACCATGGTAACGGCGGGGCGGGGGGTGCTAAGAATTTCCGATGAAGTTCGATTGCCACCTAAGACGAAATAACTTGGCAACATATGACGCACGCACCCTGAGACCTGACGAAAAGATCCTGGAGCTAGAAGGCGAGATAGACAAGTAACGCTGGGATATTATAGGATTATCTGAGTTTCGAAGAGAGAGAGAGAAGAGGACACGATAATTCTTAAATCCAGCAACTTGTTCTATTACTGGGAGGGCGACCATCTGTCCCAATGAGGTATCGGATTTATCGTCCACAAGTCTCTCGTTAACAACGTTGCAAAGATTGGGAGTGTGCCGACGAGGATTGCGTTCCTTATATTCAGAATCACAAAACGGCATTCGTTGAAGGCCATACATGTATACACACCAACCTCGGCACCAACGGCGGCAGGAAATGTATGAGGAAATCTCTAAAGGTATGCATACCTCCAGTACCCACTATACGGTGTTAATGGGACACTTCAACTCAAAACTAAACACAAGAAAAACGGTGAGCTGAAGGTAGGGAAGTACGGAACAGGGCAACGGAACCCAGGGGCCAGTAGCTGGCTGACTTCATGGAGGACGAGGGACTCTTTATGAATAACATTCTTCTAGAAGCGGTCCCACATAAAGTGGACCTGGTTCGATAAAAAATTAGATTGACTTCATTATGACGACCAACTGTTCAATGATGTCTCAGTAATAGCGAGGCTAAAAACTAGCAGCAATCACCGAACGGTGAGACGCAAAAGGAACCTAAACGTTAAGTTGGAGAGGTCACGTCTAATAAAGTCAACATTCCATCCTGAAAACTTTCAGCTAGAGTTACAAAATCGTTTTCAGTGCCTAGAAGACTGCAATGCAGTGGACGATATGAATGACAAGCTCATGAAAACTGTCCATGCGGTCTGAGCTATGTTCTGCAAGATCCGTCGTATAATAACATAAAACTCTCCGATCACACTCTTTAATCTCATAGCTGAGACTGGAAATGAAGCTGTAGTCTTCAGCAGATATGACAGTATACAGGCAACTAACGCTAATTAAACACAGCTCGTATTGAAGAAGAGAAGAGAAGAACCAGGGTTCCAAAGTCTTTACCAGAGATCTGTCTGCCATAAAGAGCCAACTATCGAAGCTGAAGGCCGAATGTGACAGCATCGTTTCGTTAGACGGGAGAGAGGTGACACAACAGAGAGTAAGGGAGGGGAAGGAAAGTTTAGAGATCTGTCTGAGAAGTGCTGGGAGGTGTGGAGCTTTCGGGACACCTGAGATTTTGAGCGATATTGAGATTCTATGGGCAGTTGTACACATCATCGTTGGAGCCTCACGCAAGTGTGAGTAACAATATTCGGAAGTCAGTCTGAGCGAGATTAGAATGGCTCTGCAGCACCTTAAAAACGGTAAGGCCTCCGGCGAAGATAGAATTACAGAAGAGCTTCAGAAAGTAGGTGGAAAAACGGTACTTGAAGTCCTTCAGAAGCTCTTCAAGTCTATCTTCCATAGTGGCACTACTCTGGAGGCGTGGAGCAGAAGTGCGGTGGTCTTGTTCTTCAAGAAAGGCAACAATGCTCTCTTGAAGAACTACAGAACAGTTTCCCTTCCGAGCCGCGTCTACGTGCTGTTTTCGAGTCATTACGAATCGTCTCACACGCAGACTCTACGACTTCCAGTCTTAAGAACAAGCTGGTTTCCGAAACGACTTTAGCAACATAGACCACATACATACCCTTCGGCAAATTGTACAGTAGAGCTAAAAGTATAAATCGCCACTTTGTCTTGGGTATGTGAACTATGAGAAAGCCTTTGATTCCGTCGAAATTTGGGCGGTGCTACATGCAGTCCCTTCAGCGGTGCCAAGTGGACTGCCGGTATATCGACATACTGAAGTGTTTGTACAGTAGGGCTACGATGGCTACCCGAGTATAGAACCAGAGTAAGAAACCTATCCAATGCAGAGAAGTGTAAGACTGGGTGACGTTATATCTCCGAAACTTCACCGACGAAGACTTTTTATAACTACTGGCCTGGAAAGGATACGGTATTTACATTAATGGCGAGTAATCACTTACCTTCGATTTTCCGACGATATAGTCTTTATGGCAGAATCGCTGGAGGACCTAAGCACTATGCTCAATCATCTGAATAGTGCCTCCCAACGGATAGCTCTTAAGATGAACATGGACAAAATAAAGATCATGTGTAACGGTTCATGTCACACCTTTGCCGGTAGTTGTTGGGAGCACTAAGCTCGAAGTTTTTGACGAGTGTGTTTATCTGGGACAAATAATCCGATTAGGTAAGTCTAACTTCGACCGACGTCAATTGACGGATTCAACTCGGCTGGGTACCGTTCGGGAGATTACGACACATTTTCTCGTTAGGTATGGCTCAAACATTGAAAGTGAGATTGTACAACCAGTGACCTATTAAGTTAAATAAATATTTCACTTACATTTTTAAATCTTGTTATCAATTTTAGAACATAGGAAATTTGATAGTTACAAAGAAAATTCGAAACTCACATTAATAGGATATTTTTGGCTTGTTATTTTTGCTTATTAGTACATCTTTGTTGGTAACACATCAATTTTAAATACAAAGCAATAATGCACAAAATACTGTATAGGTACCGTTCCGAAAAATAACAAAAGAACTAAGTTTAAATTAGATTTTCGATTGTTGAACTACTTACCCAAAGATAACTATTATAGATCTACAGGTTATCTCTGGTTTAATTTTAGATTTATACAGTTATAAATATTCTCAGTGAACAACAAAATTATATCAGTTTTTGAAGCCGCTTTAGGAAATTTACTTTAGTAACTTACTTTTACAAATTATATGGAATTGTTTACTTTAGCATACTTACAACATACATACCTAATGAAATCACCATTGGGATCTATCTTTCGGCCAAACCGAACAGGACAATAGTAATGAAAGAATTGATGGAAGAAGGAGGAGCAGGACAGCCACATCCACATCCCTGCGTTGATTGACCAGTCAGCGTCCAGTATCAATTCGTCGAATACCTGGCCATAAACCAAATTCCTAATTAATCGTCAAGCTATTTAAAGAAAATTACTCAAGTAGCAAGCACGCAATAGATATTTCGGTTCTTATTTATATTAAATCCAGTTAAATCTTTATATTAACACTGTATCAGTAATGAATACAAATAAATAAAATAGAAGTGTCTATTTGTAATACCAATATAACAATTTTTTAACTAAATGCGTATGAAAATAGTACCTTTAACAAAAAAAAAAAAAAATAAAAAAAAATTCTGCCTGTGTGTTCCAGGTAATCTCCGAAATGACGGGACGGGTAATAAATTCTATGCGTACGAAGTCGTGGGGAATAGCTAGCTAGTCTATAATATAGACATTTTAGTGCAGTAACACACCTGATAATTTTCTAAGACTTATAGCATTCACAATTGGCAGTTTCGAAACTATAGATAGTTTGTACGCACACGCACGCACATACACGCGCACAACATGCCGCGGGTAAGGTATAAAAAATATACCTATTATAACGGATGTTTGTGAAACGCCCCCGAAAACGAAGACAGACCATATTACTAAGGATACCTTTGATGATGGGACGAAAAGAAAATCGATCCTGATCAAAAAAAATCATTTTTTACACAACGTTTATTTAGCTTTATTCACGCTCTATCGTATAAGAACAGATAAATAAAACGATAATTTCATAAAAAAATCATGAAAATACTTAAACGTAAAACCAGCAGTGAAACTTCAAATACCTAACATCAGCTGATAGGGGTCAATGTAAGCGCGACAATGTGAGTAATTTATCAACTCAAGCGCGCGCGGCCCGCAGCCCGCGATCGTACCAATACCTAATAATTTACAACATTTGTCTAAACACCTAACTTATTTACTTCACCTACTATTTTGCCACTGTGCTAGTCTCCATCTATCCACTTTAATTCCAATTCACAAGTTAAGTAAACCAAATATCGGTTCGATTCCCCACTTATGAAAAATTTACTTAAATTATTTAGTAGGTATGTTTATTATTTTGATGTATTCAGTTATGTACTTATTCAGATCAGTTCAATACTAAGTCATTTAAAAAAATTAGGTATGAAACAGCTTACCGATCTAAATCCATAAATAAACTTGCCCATACTTTAACCAACCATCGGGTTTAGTGCTTGGTTTACACTTTTAAACTTTATGAACTGTCCGTATGAGACACTTGTTCCATCCGGACGCCTCAACAATTTAGCGATACGTTATAAAATTGTAAGCTCGTAATGCACGCGAAGCATCCCCGCGAGCTTCCCCAAGGCACATTAACACAGGGCCAGTCAACTTCCTAATAAAAGATTGGTACCGGGAGATGACCTTGGGGGGCTTTAAAGAAGCGAGATGGATTAACATCTATCTCCCTCGCACTTTATGTTAACTTGCCATGAAAGAAATATTACTACATGTTAATGCACAGAACACTAATACCCGCCTAAGGGTATTAGTGTTCTGTGCATTAACATGTTGCCGTATTCACGAGCACTATAAACGTACGCAATGCCTAATGCATTATTAAAACAAAACAAGGAACACGAAACGTAACAACAAGTAATGACAAGTAAAACAACAAAAATTTAATAAACAAAACGTTTGAACGGTCGCTCAAGCGCACGTCAACACGGAACTGTCTCAAAAATTAATTTGTGTAATTTAAAATGGCAATGCTGCAACATGTGCGGCGTTGCCGAAATTAACCTACTAAAATTAGACCAATTTGTCAAATTCCCCGAAAGTCCATTTCAAATTCCCCTCAACTTTATTCTAAGTAATGAAACAATTTTCAATAAATTTTATAAGATTTAGTTTATAACTAACACATTTTTTGTTTTTTACCGAATGTTTTTTCACACTCCATACTTTGTAACAAGCATTTTACTCCATTGACTATTTTTAATTCGTTCATTTGTTGCCATTAAAAAGAACCACTGTAGCTGCATTTACTCTAATGTAAAATAAAGAAATGAAAATTTAAATGATACACAAAAGTTGCAAAAATCAAAACTTAACAAAAATCTAAATACTTATCTTAACATTTTTGTTTTTGATTTCTTGAAAAAAGGTTCTGGCTTGGCCCAAGCAATCGATTTTCATAATCCCCGCATAATAAAAATCCCCTGAAAAATTCCCAAACAACTTTAAATTCTCCGTAATTTGAGGAATTCCCCACGTTGGTAACGCTGAACAGGTGTAAATTGCGAGGCGATGCGACTCGGCCAGGAGGCGGCAGCGCGTGTGTGAAAGGGAGGGGTAGTGAGCATAAATGCAGTAATACCTATTGCATTGTTTCGCACTGAGCTAGATAGAAACGTTCAGCGTCCGTGCGTTTTTTGACCCCATAATCAGCTGATTTCAGGTTTAATTTTCACTGCTGGTTTATGTTTAGGTATTTTCATTTTTTTTAATAAAATTATCAGATCATTTAGCTGTACTAACATGATAGAGCGTGAATAAAGCTAATTAAACATTGTAAAAAATGATATTATTTGCATCGAGATCGATTTTCTTTTTGTCTCATTGTACAATAATATAAACATATAAATTTGGTTTGTAAGAAGATTACATTTTTTCTTGCTAGATGGCGCTAAAATCGAAATTCAACGCGATATGGTTTCGTTAGTTAATATAGTATAAGCCACTTTTATTTATACGAAATAAATAATTATCCGTTCTTGGAATCTGAATTAGTATCATTTTTCCAGACTTTTGACTTCGAGCCGGATCGGTTTTTGATTGGAACACAAGCGCCGTAGAGTAAAAATTTGTTTGTTGTTTATTACTGTGTATTGTGTAATCTGTGCAATAAACCGACAAGTGACAAACAGTTGTGGCCTTATATGGGATAAAGAAGACTTCTTATTCGGGTGTCTACTACATTGCTAATCATTGGTCGGAAATATATTGAAAAGGAGAGGAACAAATCAAATCTGCAGCCATCAAGGTTGGTACCGTTCGTAAAGTAAAAGCAGCTAAGTGAAAAGTGCAAACAAACTGTGAGTACAATTGATCTTCAATAAGTGTCAGAGAACTTGTAAAATAATTCATTAGTGCAAGAACTTGTAATAATTTCTAAAGTAGTTTGGGACTTAGAATAATTCACCAAAAAGTGGAGGTACGGGGAACCTACGCCCATTTTCACTCAGAAGATTAATTTAAAACACTTACGAAATTATCAACAAAAAACATGGAAGCCGATTTAAGAATTTTAATGGACTTAAAAAGTCAAATAGAAAGAAGTAGAGTTAATTTTAAAAAGTCACCAAAGGAGCGAATTACGCCTATTTTTGTTGAAATAAGACTTGAAGCTTTGGAAAAACAATTTGGTGAATTTCCTGAAAAACATACGGGATTAATCAGCAAATAGAAGCCCACCGATTTAAATAAAACTGCATATATTAAGGAAGAACTGTTTCAAGGACTTTATGATACTTATTTAGATTACAAAGTTGAATTAAAAAGTACATTGGCCAAGTTTAAAAATGATATTGTATCACCTAGTTGTAGTGAAACATCATCTAAGCAATCTGTGAAATCGTCCTGTGTCAAGTTACCAAAAATATCTATCCCAAAATTCAGTGGCAAGTATACGGAGTGGTACAGTGCTACACTGCTACATTTCGCGATTTATTTATTTCCCTTATACAAAATAACGAGACACTCTACGATGTGTTTTCCCAAAAGAGGGTCGCTTCAGATACGGCATAAGAAGCTTAAACAGCTGGCTGCCAGTCCCCAAAGGCGGTTTTTAGAAGGTTCCACTTAGGTTCCCCCGGTGGCAGTGAGTCCCTCAACACGATAGACATGTGGTGCGTTGCATTTTCCGCCTCCCTACATAAAGGGTAGCCCTTTCCAATTGCTTCGAGCGCAAAAAAAAACTCGACGATGTTCAAAGATTGAATTTCACCATTATTTAAAAGCATTATTTAAAAACACAATTAACTGGTGAAGCTGAGCAATTGATTCGTCATATTCCTATTACTCAATCAAATTATAAAAAATGTTGGCAATTGTTAACTGATAGGTATAATAACAAAAAATTTATGTCTAATTGTATTCCAAAGCGCTTATTTAGTCAGCGAAACATGTCTTGTGAATTTTTCAATTCTATTAAGGAATTATTAGACACTACCACAGATTGTTTGCATGAATTGTCAAATCTAGGAATTGATACAAAGTCATGGGATGTTATCATCATATACATATTTAGTTTGAAGTTGGATGTGGAAACTCGTAAACAATGGGAATTGTATGTTAGTCAACCGCCCGATGAATTACCAACATTTAAGCAACTAAAAGAATATTTGGAAACAAGACTTCGAGCATTAGAATTTGTGGAACCTAGTAGAAGTAAAACTCGCGCCAGTTATGTAAATTTAAACAATAATCCAAAAGCATTGCATGTAACCTCAAACTTTACATGTCCCCATTGTTCCGAAGGCCACCGACTGTACAATTACAAGCAATTTGCTAAAGAAGATGTTGATAAGCGAAGAAATATAGTTCAATCACTTGGCCTTTATTTTAATTGTCTTGGTTATAATCACAGTAATAAAATATGTCGCGTAACAACCAAATGCAGATTTTGTAAGCGAAAGGTATCACACTTTATTGCATCCAAAAAGTCAAGTTGATTCAGCAAAATGCGGTGTCGCTATGGAATCGACATGTAATAGCAATGATACAATTTTAGATTTCCCTAAAGACGATACAATAACAAACATTGCAACCCATTTTTGAAGGATATAGTTCAAACACAAATTTTATTAGCAACAGCCTTAATTAAGGCTGAATCGAAAAATGAGCAATTTCAGATCATAAGGGTTTTGCTAGACAAAGGGTATCAAACTATTTTTATTTCTGAATTCACGGTACAATTATTGCGTTTGGTAAAATTCCTACTAGAAGCTCAATATCTGGTGTGGGGAGTAGTCAAAGTAAAACAATTTCTAAGCATGTTGTTTTCATAAATATTCAGT